GGGCTGCTTTATCCAATCCCCACAAATTAAGTTCACTGTCTTTTGTAGCATCAAAAATGTAATTTTCAAGTATAAAATCACATTATCAAAAAAAAAGTGCATCTGAAACAAATTCAGTAAGTCCTTGCTCATGTAGCAGTAAAAAAAACTAAAGTTTTCAAATGTTCAACATTTTGAATTAAAGAAAAGTGCATTGTAAACAAACAGCAACAGTGTGCATCTGAAAAGTACAATTCAAGCGTTGGAGATTTGGCATTGAAGGTGACTTAGATAAAGTTAACAGTCTGTCAGAGTCTGGAACTATTCTTGAAAAAAAATAAAATGAGAGCTCGCTTCTCAGTCAGAAGGCGCTTGACCATGTAGAAAGAGCTATTCCATCTTGTCTGGACGTCTAGAACGAGACGAGCTGGAGTGGATGTGGTTCCCGCTCCCTGCATTTCACGCTGCAGGTCTTCCAAGCGAGACTGCGCCAGTTGGGAATGCTTGAAATGTGCGACAATCTTTCGGCTGTTTGCTAATGCATCGCTAACACTGCGTTGCAACATCAGCCCTTCATGCACTACGAGCTGCAGCATGTGAGCAAAACATCCCAGGCTAGGAACTGCCATGTCTTCCAAAGCGGCTTTCACGTTACTTGCGTTGTCCCGTAGAATGACGTGCACCTTTTCCAGAGGAATCCCCCAGTTATTTAGCATCTCGGCAATGGCGGCTGCTATTGTAGCTCAGATTTGTGAACCCCGCACTTTTTGACCTGAAGCATCGCGCAACAGAAGTGATGTGTCCCGGAGTCAACCCAGTGCACTGTAAGACTTATCAGTGACATTGGGCAGACATCTGAAGTTTATGTTTATGTTTATTCATTTCGCAGACACTTTTATCCAAAGCGATGTACAAGTATTTATTTTTTTTTTATAACCTATAGGGCATGTTGTGATGTGTGGGGGAAACCGGAGTACCCGGAGGAAACCCACGCATGCATGGGGAGAACACACAACTCCACGCAGAAAGGCGAGTTTTGAACCTGCGACCTTCGTGCTGCGAGGCAACAGTGCTAACCACTGTGCCACCATGCAGTCCAAATATCTGTAGTGAAGCTCAGGGCTGGAATTCCTTTCAGCTTCCGGCTAACTTGGCTGACACTCGGTTGTATAGTTCAGGTAGCGCTGTCTCTGATAAATATGTCCTGGAGGGTAAACTGTACCTTGGCTCCAAGTGTTCAATCAGGCTGCAAAATCCCTCATTTTCCACCACTGATAGCGGTTGGTCATCAAGTACAATGAAGTTGAGCAGCTTTTCTGTAATCCCCATGGCTTTAACGTTGTCTGCGGGGAGTTTACTTTGCTTCTTGAATGACTCCAGTAGTGATTCTTGGTGTCGCTTTTCTCCTTTCTGCCCCCTCGTTAAAAACTCCTCGTGCTCCCTCGGGTGGTGTTTTTTCAAATGTTTGATAAAATTAGTAGTGTTGAAAGTTGAGACGGAGGTTCCACCTCTTGGAACAACAGCTTTGTAAACATTACACGTTGCTGTCTTGCTTTGCGGAGCTTCCAGAGTAAAATATTTCCACACAGCGGACATTTTGTGGATAAAAGTTTGGCGCTGCTCATGCTAGCCAGCTACCTGTAAACTGCGGTGAGTGGACTTCCTGAAAGGAGCCGCGTCATCTCTCTGTGCCTTCGGGGCACAGAGAGCACCTCCCAGCCCGGGATGTCTTATTTAGACATTACACAAGAGATAATTCTGGATCGGAAATTTGTGCAGGTTGGGTCGGAATTTTCCGATCCGTGATTTAAGTCCAAATCGGAGCCCGATTCCGATACTGGATCGGATCTGCCCCATCCCTAGTCGGAACCGCAGCTCTGCTACCAGCTCGGTGTCCAGAGAGGGTCCGGGTGGACCTCGGCATTCCTGATCCCACAGAGGACTTCCACCAGGCAGGTAGGCGTGGCTTAATGGTGTCTCATGCAGTTCTGAAACGAACCCCAGCTTATTCCAAACCAACATCTTCAGTTCCCGTCAGAACTAATCGCTTCTTCGGATTTGCGGGTTCTGATTTACATGACACGTCATCCATTCACCGCCTCATCCATTTTTAGTCGCACTATACACTTAGTTCTTAAATAAGCCTAGTTTAATTGTTAGTAATAAAATTTCTTAACTTTTAAACTTGACTCGTTCTATTCTGTTGTCTCTGAGTGAATACATAACGGTTACATGATCTCTGCATTAAAAAGACCCAATCTTCTGGTTTAACCAACCCCGATCCATGAGGCGGATTTCATATTTCCTATGGAATCCCACGCCTTACGGCTCATTAATTAAAATGTAAGAACCTCATTTTTCCCTTACAGCTGAGTCCCATTCTGTCCCGCTCTGAACGTGAGACAGTTCTCCACACCTTCATCTCCTCACGCTTAGACTACTGTAACTCTCTTTTCACGTGTCTGAGCAGAACCTCCCTGAACCGTCTACAGGTGGTTCAGAACGCCTGTGCTCGGCTTCTGACCAAGTCCTCCAAACACACCCACATCACCCCGATTCATGAAAAAAACACTAAAACTGAGTTATTTTCTAGATAAGACTTTTTTTTTTTTGCCTGGGGTGTTTAGTACAAATCAGTCTTGATTATGTTATGAAATATCTAAACTTTAGAATTTTTTGCATTTATAGTTTTTACATAGCAACACATTTAAAATTGACTATACACTCGAGCCATTAGAGGACAAAAACGTCCCATTGACTTTAATGCAAACCACAGGTTTTGATCCTGTATCATCTGCAACAAATAATCATGCTTTCTGTGATGTTATGGTTTCATTTTGGACAAAAGTAGAATTCAGTCATGTCTCCATATGTTGCCCAGGCGAGAAAGTTTACACATTTCTTTAGATCTTCTGCTGTTTTTATTGAAGTCAAAAGGCCAACCTGACCTCTGATAAGTAAATAAAACACAGTTTGACTCTCCTACTGAACTTCAAAGTGTAGAAAACAAAAACAATTAGTATGTTGATGCACCTGCCACATTCAAACTCCGTGTAGTCTGGTTATCTGGTCATTTCACTTCTGTGAAAGCCACGGAGCTAAATGAAGAGGCATCTCTCTGTGGAACAAGTTCTGGATCAGCTCCTGCAGCCTGATACTCCTGGAGAAAATGAGGAGAGTGAAACATCTTCAGTGGACTTTGAGGTGGAGTCAGACCATTCTGTTTCCTTGACTTCTTCTCCTGACCTGTCCAGTGAAAGAGAAGGGAGGACAACGGATCCTGCTCCAGGATGGATTTCTAAAAGTGGGCAAGTCTGGTTTCCTACTAACGCAGAAACTTCCCACTATGTTCCTGCTGCAAGATGTTTGGATCCTGGGCCAACACGTTACGCCATCACACGTATTTACGATGTGGTATCCTCCTTTGATTTATTCTTTACTCCAGAAATGACTGAAATCATCGTCAACATGACAAATCTAAATGGAAGACGTGTGGTGAAGAACTGGTGGGATATTGATGACATCGCAGTGAGAGCATACATTGGGCTCCTGATTTTGGCTGGTGTGTACCAGTCCAAAGGGGAATCCACCTGCAGCCTTTGGGATGACCACTGTGGACGTGCAATCTTCCTGGCCACCATGAGTCACACCAAATTCAAGATGATCAACTCCACCCTCCGGTTTGATGATGAGCTGAACAGGCCTTCCCGTCTCAGGCAGGACAAGCTGGACCCTATCCGCTCGATTTGGGACATGTGGACCCATCGCCTCCAAATGCTTTTCAACACTGGGTTAGATGTGTGTGCTGATGAGCAGCTTGTCCCTTTCAGAGGCAGGTGCAAGTTTCGCCAACATATGCCAAGTAAACCAGCAAAGTACGGATTGAAACTCTGGGTCACTGCTGATGTTGCCACTTCCTATGCCTGCAAGTGTCAGGTTAACACAGGGAAAGCTGCTGGTGAGGCTGCAGAGGTCGGCCAGGGAAAACGTGTCATTTTGGAGATGACCGAAGAGCTCCAAGGAGTCACTTCACATGCATGCATTCACACTTCTGCCCTTTCATAACAAACTGAACTACAAAGAGTTTGGATGTGCCTGAGCTCCAGCCAGGTGCATTAACATATTGTTTTTGTTTTCTACCCTTTGATGTTCAGTAGGAGAGTGAAACTGTGTTATGTTTACATGCTGAGCTTCTGACTTCAATAAAAACAGCAGAAGATCTATAGAAATGTGTAAACTTTCTCGCCTGGGCAGCATATGAAGAAATGACTGAATTTGGTGGTGAACAGTAAAAATCATAAATTTGACTACTTTTGTCCAAAATGAAACCATTACATCACAGAAAGATGAATATTTGCTGCAGATAATACAGGATCAAAAACTGTGGTTTGCATTGAAGTCAATGGGACGTTTTTGTCCATAACAGGCACAAGAGGGTGGTAAATTTTAAATCTGCTGCTACACAAAAACTAAAAAAGCATAAAATGTGATATTTTGCTAGACTCTTGACATATCCAAGGCTAATTCCATGCTGTCGTTCTTTTTAAAACACAGAAACGGTTTCGTTACCTGTTTTTTTTTTTAGAAAATAACTCAGTGCTGTTTTTTTTTTCTTTTTTCTTCATAAATTACATCAATGACTTTTGAGTATTCAAACTGGCATTTCAGGGGTTAAAAGCCTCAAAATGATTGAATTTTTTTTATGTTTGAGCAGGGCTGAAGTTGTTCAACAGATCTATGAAAAAAAGTAAAAAAAAAAAAAAAGAGAATGTATACATTTTTATAGCCACTTTTACAAGCGGACGTTTTTGTCCTTGTCCTCTAATGACTCTTGTATGAAAATTAAAGTGAAGCCTGAGAGTTAAGGCGCATATGATTTATAGAGGCTCAAAGTTCAGTTTCCAGTTGTAAATACATTTCATTCTACTGTCAGTTTAAAGAAATAATACAACTGTTATATGTGTGAAAACACAGTTACAGCTGTCTGTCATTCACATAATATGTTTCTGTGTTTCCTACAGATTTTCAACAGGTGGTTCTGGTTAAATAAGGAGCTTCAGAAGAACAGAGCGCTCGTGTCAACCACCAGCACCTAGATTTTCTTCACAAAAAGGAGGAACAGGAGAAACTCTGGTCTAATATGGAGGGAGATTATCTCCATTTGAATAAGGAGACTGATGATGCCAGGCTTCAGTCTTTTAGCCAAAAAACAAATTTAAACAAACACACGAGAGTCCAGACAAAGCAGAAACATTTTGCCTGTGAGCACTGTGGACAAAGGTTTCACCAAAAGACTAATTTAACCACACACATGAGCGTCCACACAGGAGAGAAGCCTTTTGCTTGTGAGCTCTGTGGAACGAGATTTAGCCAAAAGACAAATTTAAACAGACACATGAAAGTCCACACAGGACAGAAGCCCTTTCCTTGTGAGCTCTGTGGAAAGAAATTTAGCTTAAAGTCAACTTTAAACAGACATATGAGTGTCCACACAGGACGGAAGCCTTTTGCTTGTGAGCTCTGTGGAAAAAGATTTAGCCATCAGACACATTTAAACCGTCACATGAGAGTCCACACTGGAGAGAAGCCCTTTCCTTGTGAGCTCTGTGGAACGAGATTTAGCCGAAAGACACATTTAAACCGTCACATGAGAGTCCACACTGGAGAGAAGCCCTTTCCTTGTGAGCTCTGTGGACAAAGGTTTAGCCGAAAGTCAAATTTAAACATTCACTTGAGAGTCCACACTGGAGAGAAGCCTTTCGCTTGTGAGCTCTGTGGTAATAGATTTAGTGAAAAGGGAAGTTTAAACAGTCACATGAGAGTCCACACTGGAGAGAAGCCCTTTCCTTGTGAGCTCTGTGGACAACAATTTAGCCAAAAGACACATTTAAACAGACACATGAGAGTCCACACTGGAGAGAAGCCCTTTCCTTGTGAGCTCTGTGGACAAAGGTTTCACCAAAAGACTGATTTAACTACACACATGAGAGTCCACACAGGAGATAAGCCCTTTCCTTGTGAGCTCTGTGGAACGAGATTTAGCCGAAAGACAAATTTAAACAGTCACATGAGAGTCCACACAGGAGAGAAGCCTTTTCCTTGTGAGCTCTGTGGTAATAGATTTAGTGAAAAAAGAAGTTTAAACACACACATGAAAGTCCACACTGGAGAGAAGCCTTTTGCCTGTGAGCTCTGTGGAAAGAAATTTAGCTTAAAGACAACTTTAAACAGTCACATGAGAGTCCACTTTGGACAGAAGCCTTTTGCTTGTGAGCTCTGTGTAAAAAGATTTAGCCAAAAGACACATTTAAACAGTCACATGAGAGTCCACTTTGGACAGAAGCCTTTTGCTTGTGAGCTCTGTGTAAAAAGATTTAGCCAAAAGACACATTTAAACAAACACATGAGAGTCCACACTGGCTTTTCGCCTGTGAGTTCGGTGGAAAAGATTCACCCAAAAGATCAGTTTAAAAGGTCACAGAAGAGTCCATAAAGGACAGAAGCCTTTTGCTTGTGAGCTCTGTGGACGAAGATTTCGCTGAAAGAAAACTTTAAACAATCATCTAAGCATCCACTAGGGCTGAACGATCTATTGCAGGGGTCTCCAACGTTTTTTGGCCCGTGAGCTACTTTTACACAATGAAGTACAGCAGAGTTACTGCCATATAACTTATTTACATTGATACTTTCCATGTGTGAATGTGCTTATGTTAAACATGCTATACTTACTATATTAGCATGCATTGTACTCGCAAGTTGATTTCTCTGTATTTCAGTACATCAGTATATATATTTTAAAAGTATAAGTAAACTAGTGACATTCTGAAAACCAAATTGAACAAAACATATTTAGTTTTTTAAACTAATCGGATACTTTCAGATAATGAATAACAAATCTACTTCATGTGAATGATTTGATAATTTTTTTAGAAGGTTGGTAACATAACTTTTTAAGCGCACAGGAACAGCTAACCTGTAAAGCTGATGATATGTGATAGGTAATTTTAGATTTATCCCATATTACCTTAAAGGACGACACACAGAGAGAGAGAGAGAGAGATTATTTGTAATGTCCATGAATCGTCATGCGAGAGCTGGGCGCAGAAACCCCTCCATGGTGCTAACCAGCCCCCCTCTTTTCCTGGGGAAAGCCTTCAGGTCACCAGCTCTGCATGCCCCGGCATCTCCACCAAATGTTAGGTAATTAAATGTTAAGTGATATTTAATCTCCATAACCCTGAAACCTAAAATCAACACACATGACAACAAGGAAGACATTTTACCCTGAGTCCCCAAAATAATGGAGAGGTAACGCGGGGAAAAACCTCCTCCAAGGCTTTTCCCCCGTCACTCCCAAATCTCAGTTTCCCAGGGGCTTTATTCACAAAGGATGGAGGAGAAGACGGGCCTTCTCAGGTTACAGAGGTACAGAGGTTTCCTTGGAAATCTACAATCAACATCCTTGCCTGCAAACAAGCTTCTCTGCTCAACCTTTCATAAACAGCCACAGTTGGCAAACACAAGAGATTCATGAAGTGTTAATGACACAAAATGGGCATCTTTTAGGCCTCAAAAAGGTACAATTATAAAAATACCCAACAATATGTTAAATAAAATACAAGCTAAATGTGATGAAAACACAAAAGTCTAAATAGTTTGAATTGAAGTAAAAAATGTAAAATCAGAAATAAGACTTGTTCCTGCTCTCCTGATTTACTGAATAATTTTTATGGGTTTTTTTTTTTTTTTTTTTTTGGTCATGAAAGTTAAGTTTTGCTGCGTTTATTGCTGACAATATGAAGGTTGGAGGTTTATCCTTTTTTCTGCATCTTGTAGGTTTTTTTCTCCGCACGTCTCTAAATAAAGTAAAATTTTCTAGTGCAGAGTGGAGACAACCCATAGAAGCACTGATTTGATCTCATTTCAGAGAAAAATAGAACAGGTTAGATGCACCTAATAAATAAAATTATAAAAAACTCAGGAATCTGTTTCTTTGCTTCACTGTTCTGGTGCTGAGAATATCACTAATGCGGATCAAAGGAGATACACAGATGAATGCACCTCTTATTTATTATTTGGAGTCTACATTTACTGCAGCTGGCAGAGGCAGAGATTTTTTCTATTGATACACGGAATTTACAGAATCATTTTAAATTTTAATAGGGCAAGACTGCAGGAGGGAGCGGTAAAATACAGGGGGTCCCCATTAAAAACAAGAAACTTTACGAGTCTGATGAAACCCGCTGGTTTTCCATCAGGCAGTCATGGGGCAGCTCCAACGACCCAGTGGCTGTGCTGGGTCAAGGTTATCGAGCCCAGTCCGGCTCAGCCGCGAACGAGCTGAGGCGATGACGTACTCTGCTTGAAGAGGTGTTTTTTTCCCGCTTCAGAAGAAGCGTTGAATGTGTTTTTACGCTTTCTCCGAGACATGTCACGTCGCTAAGTTGTTAGCGCCGCGCGATAACACGTCAATAGTGCAGCGTAGCCTGCTGGAGGTTTTAAGGGTTCAGATGAAACACCCGACCTCTCAGGCTGCTCACACATCGATCTTAAATTGTCGCTGTTGCGCTCACGCCGTCATACAGTATTAGATGCGGTTAAAGTCAGACATGAAAAAATAAATAAATTTTACATGAATAAGTGATGCTTATCCTGGTGGGGAGAGGAAACCCTGTCAAGATCGTCAACGCTCGTTTATCTTAATGCTATTGAAACATGTAAACCAAAAAGCATTATATCCACTGCTACCTTTATGCTGTAACTTCACCCTGCCCTGCCTGCTCCTCCTTGCTGCCTGCCGGCTGTGATCACAAGCGACAACATAGTAGTTCCCGCTGCTTCCTCGTGAAACAGCTCAAAAAAAAAAATCAAAACTTGGGATTTCAGCCGTGGCGGGCCGCCACGCCTATGTGAGGAAAACCCTGGTGTAGTTATTGTGTAAAGCAGTATATACTAGGAATGATTAATAAAAATAAAAACTAGAATTGAACATGAGTTACATAGTAATAACAATTTATGAATTCAGAATCAATTCACTAACTTACTAATTACCATGTAAGTACTAAGTAATTAGAGGACTGTAAAATAAAGCGCTACCAAAAATTGTACTTAATATGCTTTTATTTTTGTGTGCTATGTTCTGTGTCAATATTCTTTGATTTTATTTTACACAACATGATGTGACATTTTAACTATTTCATTTCACTTGTGATTGTTTTAACTATGTGAAGCACATTGGGCTACCGTTTTGTGTATGAAATGGGCTATATAATAAACTTGACTTGAGAGAGAGTTCACAATCATGTTTTGTTACTAAATGAGACACTCAGCTGAAACTGGGGGAAATATATGATGAATCTAAATCACAGGAGATGTCCAGAGTTTTTAAAGCCCGTGTTCATCATGTTGTGGGGGACCACAATGAGGCTACACTCACACCCAGTTCTTGGTACCACAGACGTATATATTGACTTGGGACTGTTTGTATGTAAATATTGTTGACTGCTTGGCCGCTTGATCAGAACCAGAAACGTATGTGTAACAGACCATCTGGGTGTTCAAGGGGCTGTATGTGGAGGGCCACACAGAGGCTACGCTCACACCCAGTTCTTTGGACTGTTTGTATGTAGATGTAGCAGGACTGGTTGGTGTCTCAACCAGTTGATCGGCCAGCCTATCACACATATTAATCAAACCAGCCCACCATTAAAACATATTACAGATGATAACAACTCTACTGCTTGTACTATAAGATTAATGCACACAATTTAATTTAAGACATTTAACTGTGTGCGCGTGTGTGTTTGCACTGAATGTGTTTGTGCACATGGTTCACACGTGTGTAGGGTTAATCTACATACTAGAACTAACGCTGTTGCTATCAGCTTTGTTAGATTCTGAGAAAGACAAACAAGTTAACATATGAAGCTTCTATCATATATAAACATCTAGGATATTAATATAATCGATAGAAGTTCATACACCAACGAGCTTGGTTTATATTTAATCTACGGATTAATATTTAATTTAAGATATTTAAATTAATAGCAAAAGTTTATTTATTAAACAGAAGACTTAATAAGGTTCTTTGCTGATTCAATAACTGAAAATGCACACCATTCTGTGTTTCATTCAATGAAGAGTCAGGTTTAAAAATTTAAGAATTTATTACTAACAATTTCAAATCTGACAACTTAAAATAGACAATTTATGAATAACAATTTATAAATGATGAATTTGAACAACAATTTTGATATTAAAACTTGTTATTAAAGCAACCCCTGTGTCTGGATGGAAAACTAAGTGGAATGATGAGGTTTGGATGCGTGAATGAAATCTCAGACGCTTTCTTTCAGAGGGAGAACGCGTTCTGGGTGAAACGTTGGTTTTGCAGCTAACTGATGGTTTCTTAGAGAGAACAACATCGGACGCAATCTGTGTTCTACCTCACCGTTCAGACGACCCTCTGTGTGGATCTGGAGGTCTGGAGGATGTTGTCAGCCTCAGGGGTACTCAGGTCCGGCAGATGACCAAGGGTACCGACTTTCTCTGGTCCTAGAGTTGCCGTGAGGTGCACAGGTAGATGTGGCTTTGCATCCGGGCAGATTCTTAAGGAATCTCGTAGTGTCAGCTGGTTATAGGTGCGTTTATTCAGAGCTATTCTATCGGCGTGACAGAACGCTTAGTGAGGAGTCAGGCGGCCGACCTTCTCCTCTGGGATACTCTCGTTGTCACGAAGAAGTATCAGCTTGGTTCAAGAACTGAACTTAAGCTGTGGAGCTTTGGTTTTAACAAAACCTCAGAACACGCCCTCTCAGAGACAGGAAGCATGACTATGGAAGACATGTGAGGCAGTTACCTTGAAGTGAGTCCTGCATGAGGTGTAAACACGTGCAAAAGACCTTCTGGTTACTGAACACACATTACTGATTATCATAAATAATAATTATTATTAACCAAAGAATAATAAGTCATTTCATTAGTTAAAAATGCATTTATAATGAACCATGATGATCATTTATGATGATTATAGTAAACCTTATAATAAAAGAGTTTATTAAATTATTTGATTAGAGTTGAAGGTCCTTCATCTCGTGATGGAACAGCAAACAGATAAACAGTCAGATTGAAGACGGTGTTATTGTAGACTATTCGGCTCCTGGTGGTTTAATCTGTGGATGGAAGTTACAGCTCGACCCAGCTGTGACCCAGCTGGAAAGAGTGAACTTTGCCCCACAAAATGAGGCCATTCATGATGCTACACGTGCGACCATCAAGAACAAAGTAGAAATTCAGCGAAAGAAAGCAAATTGACTATATATTAATTTGGTACAAGTGTGAACCTAGAGCCCCACGACTGTTATTATTTTAGGTACGGAGAGTGATCACGCTAGATCAAACAATGGGCTGAGACAATGTCTTCCTCCAAACTTGAGTTTATTTACACACAATGCATAAAACAAGTTCTTCTGTTACAACCTCAACCAGGTCTGGGATCCTGGGAGGGCTAACACAGGTACGTGAGTGCAAAAAAAAATAAATAAAAAAAGGGAGCAGTACACCAAATCACATTTGACAAAACAAACATTTTATCAACAAAAAGCGTCCCTCCTCATCGACGTCGTCTTCCTCCGCTTATCCGGGTCCGGGTCGCGGGGGCAGCATCCCAACTAGGAAGCTCCAGACCGTCCTCTCCCCGGCCACCTCCACCAGCTCCTCCGGCAGGACCCCAAGGCGTTCCCGGACCAGATTGGAGATGTAACCTCTCCAACGTGTCTTTGGTCGACCCGGGGGCCTCCTGCCGGCAGGACATGCCCGAAACACCTCCCCAGGGAGGCGTCCAGGAGGCATCCTGACCAGATGCCCAAACCACCTCAACTGACTCCTTTCGAGCCGGAGGAGCAGCGGTTCTACTCCGAGTCCCTCCCGAATGTCCGAGCTCCTCACCCTATCTCTAAAGCTGAGCCCGGCCACCCTACGGAGGAAACTCATTTCGGCCGCTTGTATCCACGATCTCGTTCTTTCTGTCATTACCCAAAGCTCATGACCATAGGTGAGGATTGGGACGTAGATCGACCGGTAAATCGAGAGCCTGGCTTTCTGGCTCAGCTCCCTCTTCACCACGACAGATCGGCTCAGCGTCCGCATCACTGTAGACGCCGAACCAATCCGTCTGTCGATCTCCCGATCCCTCCTACCCTCACTCGTGAACAAGACCCCGAGATACTTAAACTCCTCCACTTGAGGTTGGACCTCTCTCCCGACCCGGAGTTGGCAAGCCACCCTTTTCCAGTCGAGAACCAAAAAGAGTCCCTACGGGAGATAAACGACAACACAAAATGGAAGAAGACTCGTTAAGACAAAAATGATATTCCAGAAATGTTCTGAGTAATATTGCCCTTTAACACTCGGCCTTAACATGAACTTATCTGTGCGAATACTGGGGATTCACCCAGAGAATCCAAATATGAGGCCTTACCAGAAACAAAGGGGGAGCAGACTCAACCAAACAGTAACCACCCTCAACAACATAACGACAAACGGAAGTAAGGGAAGCCGGCCCCAAAAGAACATAACGCTTTCCCTAAGGTTACGTCCAAACCGTCTGGATAATACCATAGCTTTAAGAACTCCCCCGAGCCTCCAGAGTTCCAAGAGAAAAAAGAACATTGCTGGTGGGCCAGTTCTGGCTGACAGATGGGATTTGGGTGTTGGTTGTCTTTTTTGTTGGGATGCACATTTTGTATCTGTGTTCTGTTTATGTGGCTTTACCTCAAAAGAACTTTGAAATCTCATCTCTACACAAATCTTATTTCACAAACCAGGAAAAAATATATCTATCTATCTATCTATCTATCTATCTATCTATCTATCTATCTATCTA